GAGCATACACATCTACTCCCATCCCCTGCAGTTTCAGCCAGTTGGGGACCTCCAGCTCATCACCATACTCATCCACCCAGGCATCCTCGAGACGGTCGAAGCAACGATACTCAGTGTGCGCCTTCCCGCAGGTATGACCCTTCTTGGGCCCTGTGCGCCTGACGTACGGGCAGCGACCAGAGCCCCCAGAGGAACCACGCTGGACAACCCACTCACGAAGCTGCTGAGGGGTGGGGTTGTCCGGGAGGCGCGGCATCTGCTGTCCACTCCCATTGCCTCCACCGCCACGAGCGGAACCGCCATGGCCTCCACCCTTGCCAGCTCCACCACGACCTCCTCCACCGCCCCCGCTGCCTCCACCACCCCCGCCGCCTCCACCACCTCCGCTGCCTCCACCACCCCAACTGCCTCCACCACCCCGTCCGCCTCCACTGCCTCCACCTCCAGAGCCACCCCCACCGCCTCCACCCCCGCCACCACCACCCCCGCCACCACCACCGCTAGTGCCGCCCCCACCACCCTTACCCCCTTTGCCCTTGCTGTTGTTGCGCCTCCCACTAGGAGCAGACGCATCTCCAACTTCCTCAGCACCAAGGAGGTCGACAGCAGCATCAGTAGCAACGGAGGGGAGGAGAGGGGAGGGAGCACACCCTTCAAAGAAGGGGGAGCGGGGAGTGCCGCGAGAGGAAGCGACAGCGTTGGTACTGGTCTCAGCCTCAAGAAGAGACTTCTCCAGCGAGGCAAGTGTGAGCTCAGTGGGGTCGAGGGCGAGAAAGTGGTCCCTGACAGTGCGAAGGGAGTCAGGGAGGCGAGTGACAAGGAAGTACAGGGTGATATACAGCGGGGGGGGGGGGGGGGGGGGGTGGGGTTCTCAGCGAGGAAGGTCGGTTTGAGAGCGGCGCGGTAGCGAGTCTCACTAGAGCGAAGGTGGGTCATGAGGTCAGAAACAGTGTGGAAATCAGCTAGCTCAGGGAAGAGGTACGGCAGCATGAGACGGCCTAGGGCAGCAGTAGCGGGGGAGGAGTAACGAGCGACAACGGCGTCATAGAGGGCTTTAGCTGTCTTCTGCTGGCTAAAGTGCGCCTTCTATGCTACTGGAAGGTGGTTGCGGACAGCAAGGCGGGCAGTGGCATCACGCATGAGCCACTTCGAATGATATGCGTGCGCTGTGTCAGCTGGGGCTAGGAGGGATCTCTCTGTGTGGGCGAACAAGGACACTCCATCCCTAGACTCGCTCTGTAGGTACACCTGGAGATCATCAAGCCAAACGTCAAAACTAATCGCACGACCCTCCGCATCGAAGCTAAGGACTGAGAAAGTAGCCATAGGAGTAGTAGCAGCAGTAGCAGCAGTAGCAGGGGCTGCATTTAGCAGTAGCAGCAGTAGCAGCAGCACGGCAGTGCGGCTCAGAAGGGGCAAGGCAGCGCGGCTCGCGCAGGGCGGCGCGGCTCGACAGGGCGGCGCGGCTCGGGCTGGGCGGCGCGGTGTGGGCTGGGCAGGGCGCAGCCGTAGGAGCACTTGCAGCAGCAGTAGCAGCAGCAGCGCGTTCAGCAGCAGCAGCCGCGCTCAGCAGCAGCAGTAGGGAGCAGCAGGAGCAGCAGCGCTTAGCAGCAGCAGCAGTTAAGAGCAGCAGCAGCGCATGCAGCAGGAGGGGCCGCGCAGGTGATAGCAGCAGCAGCGTGCAGCAGCACTGACGGGCCAAGCACAGGCAGGTGTGCGTACGGGCTGCGGGTGAGGTGCGCGGGGTGCTTGCGGGCAGGGTGCGCGCAGGCAGGGTGCGCGCAGGTGCGCGCAGGTAGGGGGCAGGCCGGGCAGCGCGAGCGGCGCGCTGGGCAGGTGCCGTGGGGTGCGCGCGGGCAGAGGGCAGGCCGGGCGCAGGGGCTGACGGGCAGCGCGAGCGGTGCGCTGTGCAGCAGGGGGGGTGTCGCGACAGAGCGCTAAGGTGTGCGGGCAGTCAGGGCGGTCGCGACCGTGGAAAAAAAAAAGGCCAGCGCGCTGGCAGTAGGGCAGCGCGCTAGGCGCTTCGGGCAGTAGCGGAACGGTGGGCCCAACAGGATCGACCTAACAGGATCGCATGTTAAAACTAGAACGAGAGGAATGGTAGACTAGGGTTGAGATGTGATACAAGTACTAGACCTAATTGGGGTTGTACCCCTTATGGTGTACCCCAGGATAGCCTAGCAAGCACAAATATGATTTGACACACCGTACGGTAACTTATCGTACATCTACACCCTCTCTCCAATGATGTTTGCGCTGAACAAACGGCCGCGACCACCTCAGCATCTAAACTTCTTCGGGTCGCATCGCATCAGGGAAAAGGAAAACACCCGCGCCAAACAGACTTGCCACATCGCGGGCTTTGCAAGAATCTCATCACGACTGCTGCTATTCGGTACACCCGATATGACGATTTCCGATACACTACTTCAGATTTTGGGTTGAAAAGAGGTAGCACTATTTAGTAGTTCTGGAGCCTTTCAATTGGATCCCTTATTCATAATCAGTGTCATTCTATAACGAGTTGCAAGAGTGTCCCGTGGGTGCGGTTCCATCACCCTCGTGATCGCCCTCCCAACTGGGATGGACGCTTCTCCGAGGGTTGCAGAGTAGTGAGGGCGCGTAACCCTTTTGACGGGTTCGTTGTTTCGTCAAACCGAACCGGCAGGGCGAAATCGTGTTACTGCTGTCGCAATTATCCGAGATCCGTGTGACAGCTAAACGACAGATGTAACACGACTTCGCTGTGGCAGTTCGTTTGAAGAAAAACGAAACCGTCAAAATGGTTACACGCCCTAAAGCGTGATGGAATGCGGTTGCCAATCAGTCGGTCGCCATGGACCCTCGAGATTTCAGACTCAAACGACGCTCACGAGCACAGCTTCACGCACCAGCCGATTACCTAGCACAAGGTATAACTGCTGTGATGGTTTGACGGTAGAGGAAGTCGACCCAGAAATTTCTGCGGGAATCCAGTGTTGAATTGAAGCACCTGTGGTTTGTATGCCAATTGTCAATGGCTGCATTCAGGCACTCGCGTCCATTCATAGAATCAGTCAGGTACGCACGATTTGACTCACCAGCTTATCGATCGACCTAATTATGACTGACCAAGTTTAAATTGAACAGTATCCGAGCATTCAAGTCGTTTCGGGATGAGCCGCAAGAAATAAGGTTCACTCCTGGCTTCAACCTTATAGCTGGTGCAAATGGAAGTGGAAAGTCAAACATTTTGGGTGAGCGTGAAACCGGTCAACTTGCATAGCTCCAACCTGTCCCTATTATTAAATTAAGACACCTGAATGCTGTGCAGATGCAATCCACTTTGCCTTCGGCGAGTCCTATCATGCATTGCGTGTGCAATCTTTGGCCGGTCTCCAATCTTCCGATACGGGGGAAGGATGTGAGATTTCGGTGGTAGTGCGTACATCCAAAGGAGGAAGTGCAGTCGACAGAATCTGCATCGACGCAAAGCTTCTGCCAGACCAAACTCGACAGACAAAAGTCAATGGGAAGCTCAAAACTCTCCGTGAACTCAAGGTAGGAGTAGTCAGTACGGAAGGCTAGATTGAACACTTATTGATAGTCCAGACTCACATCTTAACCAAACAGGACTTTCTTCGTGTGAACCGTATCATGTTGGATGCGTGCACAAGCCTCAAGCAGTCCCAGGTCTCGGAGTTGGCGAATGCAAACGATGGTGCAGTGCTGTCTAGCCTCATTTCAGGAGTGTCTGGAGCAGGTACGTTTCATGCCTGCAGTGTCGCGTAGTCTTGATTTAGAAATGGCACGGATCCATTACTTTCTCCAACTCTGCACCTTGTCATTGTAATGGTCCAGCGAGGTGGGAAGCCGAGGTGGAGAAGGCTGAAGAGGTTGTGTCCAGGACGGAGAGAAGTTTGCACGAAATAGACACACCTGCTTGCTTGAAAGAGCAACAGCTGCCGATACGACCAAGACCCATGAAGCTCATGAAAGATGGAAGGTGTGTCACATCTCTTCTGCTTCTATTTTGCAACCTCGGTGACTTCGATCTTAACTGTCATCACTTCAGACGTGCAAGAGGCTTGGTGAACTTGGGAGGGCGATACAAATCCACGAGTCGCAAAGAAGGATCTCTTTGGAAAACGACGCCAAAACGGTTCAACAGAAGTTGAAAACAGTTCATGATAGCATTCAGACTGTTCTCAAGGAACGTGATCAAAAGCTAGCCAGTGTGCGTGAGCTCAAGGCGTTGGAGGAAGTGTACGAGGACATTCACGAGAAACGGCACGCTGAAGCACTCTGTAATGCGGAGAATGAGGAGATGATTCGTGTGTTCCAGCTACAGCAAGCAGCTGCACAAGACTTTCATTCGGCTGTGGCAAAGCTTGATTCTGATGTACAAGCGACTCTTCATGAGAAATTGCTCCTCAGTCATCAGCTCAAGGAGCATCAGGATACAGTTGCGTGGTTTGATGAGCTGGAGCTACAATCAGCTGGAAAGCATCCATCCGATTTTCTGAGAGAGGAGGAAATACAGCTGGTTGATTTGAAGCAGGTAATCAAACACAAGCAGTCGTCATTTTCTCAATGTGGAGACGCACTCGCTGAAGTTGAGAGTGAGCTTGGTCTTACGAGAGAATCTATTGCGGCTCTGGGGGAGGTGAAGTCAAGGTGCAAGTCAAGGGAGGAGTTGTTATCTCGGCTGCAAGATCTGCAAGCAGAGTCACAGAGGCAGAGTCAAGAGCATTATTCCATGAAGAGAAAGGAAGCTGCCCTAAGGATTCAGCTCGAAGTCATGAAGGCACAGCTTGGAAGTCTGGAACCCACGGATTTGAAGTTCCCTGCTTGGCCATTGCACTCAGTTTTCCGTTTCAAGACAGATCAAAGAGTCGGTTGTGCCAAGTTTCTCACCGCCTTGGATGTCATTGCAGGTGGGTTCACGCATGCCTTGTTGAAGCCAAATTCTTTCTGCATATGTATATGGTTCCCATTGGTTTAACCCCATGAAGCTGCAGGTCAGATCAGCTCCACTTGTATTGTGGAGAATATGCACGACGCTAAGTCCCTTCTGGATCTGTGGGAGAATCTCAGGCATCCAAGCGTGTTCAATCGCATCTGGCCTCTGGGATCCCTTGTTGTGGATGACATAAGGCAGGATCATTCGTTTGTGAAAGAGAGGTTTGAGGAAGGATCCGTGGTTCTTCCTCTTGATTTACTCGAGTTTGATCCTCGCTTTCTTCCAGCACTTGCAAAGCTTTTCAGCGGCTTCGTTATTGCAATGGACGACTCTGTGGCAGCTGACCTTGCCTTAAATCACGGCATCCGGAGTGTGACACTTGATGGAAAAGTTCACAAACGAGGCTTTCTTTCTGGCGGTTGGAGAGGTAGCAGAACTCCCCGGGTGATGGTGACCAAGTTTGAACATGACAGAGTTCAAAACCAGGTCAAGAGCACAGAATTGTGCATAGTACAGTCTGTTCAGGTGATGATCATCTCGGTGATACACAGTTTGTTTGATCTTAGCAAAGTGAGTTTGTTTCACGTTGTCATTGTCGCCTCATTTGCAGGCAATCAAGAACCTTGAGTTGGAGATTGAGCGGGTGCAACAAAACCTTTTGAGGCTTGATGGCATTTCAGGGGAGATGAGAGCACTGGAGAGAAAGGTATGTCCGTTCTTCAAGTTTCTGTCAAATGATTTACAAATGGCTTACATTGCACCTCAAATTTCAGGAAAAGCTCCTCCTTGATTCTCATGAACAAGCTAAGCTGGCATTCGTTGACGCTCAAGATACCCTTGTGGCAGTGGAAGGGAAAGTGGAAGCAAAAGAGATAGTGGTAGCACAACTTCGAAAGCTACTGAATGCTGGCCCAGTTGATTCGGCTGGTATCTTTGCCACTTGGAGGACGAAAATACTCTCAGCTGCTCAAGATATCGAGTCAAGACTGAATATGCTGACAATGAAGGTTGCAAAGCTCAGAGATGAGAAATTAGTGATAGAGGAGGCAATGGATGCCACCAGTGTGCAAGATCTGGAGGAAAACATGGGAAACCTCCTTCAACACCAGAAGACCATCAAGTGCCAGATTACCAATATTGAGGAAGATATGCACAAGTCGAAGTGTGAGAGGGAAGTGCGGAAGGCGAAGCTGGCAAGGATTTTGACCAACATTGAGAATCTGGAAGCACAACACAGCAAGCTCCGTGATCAAATGCTAAGCCTCAATTCAGATCTGAAGAACGTACAAGGAGGCATTGCAGAGGCGAGAGAAAGGATATCAGAGGTGGAGAAAGTCCTGGTAAGTTCTTGCTGTCACATTTTCTTACCTGATTTTGTAACACTCACGCAATTTCTGGCTGCATTTGCAGGAATCGGAGCTGCTGGTCAATACAGAGGAGGAACATTTATCGAATTCAGATGACATGGACCTGGATAACACTGAGATACTGGAGCCTGGAGCAGAGTGGAAAGCTCTTCTCTGCCGCCTTTCGAAGTAAGTGATTCATACCTCAAGCATGCAAGCTGGAAGATTTGTTATGATGTTTCTTATTGTGTTCTTTCATGTCAGGCTCAAGCATGCAAAGCTGTCAGACCAAGAGAGGGATGCCTTTGGCACACGGATATCCACCCTGAAGATGTTCAAGGACCGCGCAGCATCGATCGTGAACTCTATGAAAGTTTTGAAGGAAGGAATATCACGCGCAAAGTCAAAGGTATTCCCTTTCAAAAAAACTTTCAACTCTCCTGCTCCTCTCCTGCATATCCCCATTTTTCATTCTGACATATTGCATCTCCTTTTTTGTCCATATTGATTTGGAGCACATGAAAATCCGCGATCGTGTTCGTCCAGGTGCTAATGGTCAACAGAGACACTTACACTCGAGTGAAGTCTTCATTTCAGAACCTATGCCTCCATCTCCTTCCAAACAAGTCTGTCGATCTCATTCAACTTGGAGAAACTGTTGAAGGTGGCATTAAGATTGCCTTCTGTAACAGTCCTGCATCAGAGGATTCTGCACCATCTTGGAACACAAACATCAGTCAGCTCTCTGGTATGCAGACGCATCTTCCAAGTGACCCAATGTTTGATATCTTGTTATCCTGCTGAGTTGTGACTGGCGTGTGTCTGTTGCAGGTGGGCAACGAACTCTTTTGAGTGTTGCATTGGTTCTGGCAATTGCCCAGTGCAGCCAAAACTTTGTGTACCTGATGGACGAGGTGGATGCTGCCCTTGATGAGGAGAATCAAAGCAGGGTTGGCGCTCTTGTGCAGAGCAAGCTCGCAAAAAAGGGGCAGGTCCTTTGTGTGAGCCACAATCGGGCCTTTCAGACGTTTGCTGATTCTGTGGTCCAGGTTTCCATGGACAATGGATCCAAGATCAGCTATGCTCAGCTGGACTCAGGAAAGCGGGCAAAGCATATGGGATGTTGACTCTTTTAGCTTCCAGAGCAATTGCTCGAATCCAATTGGGTGATTTTCTGCATCCTTATTCCAACAGACGTTCTTGGTGTGGTACTAGGTATGGTTGCCTTACTAGGTAGCTCATACAACAATGCATTATTATTGATACAGAATCATAGCATCTCTTGCATGCTGTGATGATGACTGGATCTTGAGAGAGTCCATTGACTTCGGCGTCAACTCCCCTCCATTCCCGTTCCCTCTCCCTAAGCTCATGGTATCACCAAACTGCCTTGGACTCCCTGCCCCTTTCCTAATCAGTCTCCTCAGCTGCCTCCGCTCATACCGCAATCTCTCCTTATCATGCTCCCCCGCACTCCTCCTCACCCCAACTTCAAAAACCCCTCTTGTGCCATCTGCCACCGGCCCTCCTGCAACCCTTCCTTTCCCCGCTCTCGCCTCCCCTGGTCTGAGCCCCATCTGAGCCAGTATTTGATCAACCTCATCCATGCTCGTGTTGTCAGAAAGCTCTGACAGCCAATCAGCTGCCTCCAACCCTTCCCCTCCCCTTACGTCACTGTACCCCCCATGCCTGTGTGCCCCCTCCCTGCCTATCCTGTTGCCCTGCTGGACCGAGCTGGTCTCAGAGATGGAACCAGAGTGAGAGAGGGCGATGCGTGGAGGAATTATAACATGGCAGCCGCTGCTGCTTGTGGTGGTGTCCCCAACAGAGGCACCGGCAGCAACAGTACCAGAAGCACCAGGAACCACAGCAGCAGAAGCAGATAACAGGTGCTGTTGAGAGGTGAGAGGAGATGGCAGGGCGTTCCCACTGCTGTGGTGCCTCAAGCTGCTGCTGGTGCTGCCAGAAGGGTGGCAGCTTAAGACCCTCCCACTGTCCTCCACCTTCTGATAGCTAAGAACCATCCCACTATCCATCAACCCACTGGGGGAGCAGATGAAAGAAGAGAAATTTAGGATGCTGTGAGCCGGGGACGAGGAGGCGGTGTGCGTGCGAGCAAGCTGATCCCTCCTGCCGCTCGCGGTGATGCTTTCCCTGCCTTCACTACCCTCCCAATCACCAGCTGCCCTGCCTTCACTGCCCTCCCAATTACCAGTTGCCCTGCTTTGGCTGACCCATTCCTCAGCTGCCCTGCCTGCTGTGGCACCCCAGTCACCATCTGCATCAGTAATGCTGCTGCGAGTGCGGTTCAGCTCTCTGCTGTGCGGTGGGCTCATTCGGCTGCTGCTACCGCCGCTGCCAGGTATGCAGTCAATAAGAGAGGTGAGTAAAGAGGAGGAGAAGAGGGAGGATGGCGTCGAAGGAGTGGAAGGGAGGGGTGGGTCATGTTTCGTAGAAGGAGCTCCAGCAGACGAAGACGAAGATTGAGCCGCAGCAGTAGCAACAGAAGTAGCAGCAACAGCAGCAGCAGTAGAAGAGGAGTTTGCAGCAACTACAGGTGCAGCAAAAGGAGTGGACATAGTTGGAAGGGGAGGGGCAGTGGCAGAGGCAGAGGGAACTGCATGGGAGGCACCAGCAGCATGACTAGAGGCGGAGGAAGAGGGGGAGGGCATTGGGGACGACGGGTGGTAGCCTCGATGCTGCCGGTCCTGATGGTGGCGATACTCTCGGCGGTAGTGCGGGCTCCTGTGGGGGAACAATGAAGAGGTTAAAGAGCAACAGGAGAAGCAGATTGGGCGCAGAACGAGGGCCATGGTGGAGGCTTGCAGTCAGGGTGGCGGCAGTGCGATCAGCAATGATGGAAACCCCCGAGGGAAAATGAAGCTTGGATGAATTGGAAAAGGGGAATGGGGAGTGGGGGCAGCTGAGAGCAACAGGTACAGGAAGGGAAGAGTAGTTGGACAGACATGATACCTGGGATAACTGTGATAGGTATGATAGGTATGATAGGTATTATAGGTATGATAGGTATGATAGGTATGATAGGTATTATAGGTCTGATAGGTATGATAGGTATGATAGGTATTATAGGTATGATAGGTATGATAGGTATGATAGGTATGATAGGTATGATAGGTATTATAGGTATGATAGGTATGATAGGTATTATAGGTATGATAGGTATTATAGGTATGACAGGTATTATAGGTATGACAGGTATGATAGGTATGAAAGGTATGATAGGTATGATAGGTACGATAAGTATGATAAATATGACCCGTATGATTGTTCTATAGTAGGCGTGTCTAATTGCCCCCATTCCTGGTTTTTCCCTCCCCACCCACCTTTGCTGGGCCCATACTGAAACCCGCTCCGTTCGGCTCCGCGCTTGCACGTGTTGCTGCCCTTCTTCCTGCTGCTGCCGCTGCTGCTGCCGCTGCTGCTGCCGCTGCTGCTGCCACTGCTGGTTCCGCCCCTGCTGCCCCTCCTGCTTCTCCTGCCCCCCCAGCCCTTGCTCCTGCTCGTGCCGTCCGTCCTCCATTCTCTCCTGCCCCTGCCCGATGCGTTCTATCTGCTCTGCCTGCTGCTCCCCTCGCTCCTCCACTCGCTGCTGCCCTTGCTGCTGCCCTTGCTGCTGCCCTTGCTGCTGCTTCTCCCAGTCACGGCTTGCCTCCTGCCTGTCTTGATGCCTCTTACTCTCCCCTTCCCCTACCACCGCCCCCGCTTCTCCCTCTCCTCCTCCACTGTCCCAATCTCCATCCCCACCTCCTCCCACACTCGCCCCAATCCCCTCACTCCCCTTACCCTTCCCCACTAACTTCCCACCCTCTCCTTCCACCTTACCACTCACCTCCACCCCCACCCCCATCCCCATCCCAACGCCCACCCTCAACCCGCTCTCCTCCAGCCTTCTCTCTGCTTCCCTTAACCTCCTCTCCATCCACTCACACCTCCTCTCCGCATCCCTCCTCCTCCTCTCCGCCTCCTCCCTCCCTCTCTCCACCACACCCAGCATCATCATCACCTCATTACTCTTCCTCCTCTCCTCTTCCCTCCTCTCCGCCCACTCCCTCCGTTCTTCCGCCACCCTCCCCAGAACCGCACTCAACTCCTTCTTAAGCTCCTCTTTCTCCTCCAAACTCCTCCGAAGCTCGTCCTGGGACCTCTCCCATCGCGCCTCCACCTCCTCCAATCTCCTCACTAGCCGCTCCCTCTCTGCTCTTGCAGCCAATATCGCAGCATCCTTTAAAGAGGACGAGCTTGAGCAGGAGGAGGAGGAGGGAAGCCCAAACGAAGAGGAGGACGAATGGGTTAAGAGGTGTGACGTGGCACTGGTACTCCCGAAGCTCCCTGATTCAAGTACATCTGATATTATCACCTTTCTTAACATCATCTGTGCCTGTGCTAACAGTGCCTGTGCATCTCTGCTCGCCTGCCTGTTCCCTCCTGCTGCTGCCACAGCCGCTGCTGCAGCCTTCAGCAAATCACACACCTCTACAGCTGCCCTTTCTGCTCCTGCTGTTCCTGCTGCCACCCCTGCTGCTGCAATTCCTCTCTCGCTCTCTCCTCTAGTCCCTCTCTCGCCCTCTGTCCCCACTGCTCCCGTGCCCTCGCACTGTGCCACCGCACTGCTGCTGCTGCTGCTGCTGATCCGTGCAGCATCCGGTGAGGACAGTTGCAAGGACCGCAGATCCACCAAAACTCGTGGCGTGCTGCTGCCTGACCGAGACTCCCTGCGCTCATGCTGCTGCTTCTCGTGCTGCTGAAGTTGACAATGCTGCTGCTGCTGCCGCTGTGGCTGCTGGACCTGACAGGACAGCTGCTGACTGTGTCTCAACATCAGCTGCGCCTCCTCCATTTGCAGTGATCTCACTTCATCCAGTTCCCGCCTCAACTCCTCCATCTCTCGCCTCAGCTCGTCCCTTTCTCGCCTTGCCTCATCCCTCTCCCTCTGCAGCAGCTCTGCTTCTTCCATCTGCCGACATTGCACTTCGTCCATCTCACGCCTCACCTCATCCCTTTCTCTTTCAGCAGCAGCAGCAGCCACAGCAGTCACTCTCTCGCTCTCCGCCTCTGCTGATTGCAGCACACCCCGAAGCTGCACCTCCCCCATATGCCCCAACCTCGCCCCATCCACCTCTCGCCTCAGCTCGTCCCTTTCTCGCCTCGCCTCATCCCTCTCCCGCTGCACCACCTGCACCTCTCCCATGTGCACCGATCTCAACTCATCCATCTCTCGCCTCACCTCATTCACCTCTCGCCTCAGCTCGTCCCTCTCGCTCGCAGCAGCAGCTGCCGCTGCAGCCAATCCCCCCCTCTCCGCCTCTGCTGATTGCAGCGCAGCCCTAAGGTCGAGTGCCTGTTTCGCCAACACTGCCGCCTCTTCTGCACGAGGGAGTTTTTGGAGGCCCAGGGGAAGAGTGGGGTTCAGGAGGGCAGCAAAGGCGGAAGGGTTGGGGATGGCAGTGGGAAACGGGGAAAAGGGAGTAGGGAAAGCAAGAAATATCGTTCGTCCGCGCACTGACAGCATCCTTACCTTCCACCTCTCACCTCCCACCTCCCTCCTCCCCTCTCCCACCCCTCATCTCACCTCTCAGCGTCTGCTTTTCTCGCTCGCATGCAACCACCCGCTCCTCCGCCCGCCTCAGCTCGTCAGCCACACGTGTCACCTCCCTATTCGCCGCCACCCTCCCCTCCCTCTCCGCCTCCGCCTGCTTCCGCAGCTCCGCCACTCGCCCCTCCATCTCAGCTACCTCCGCCTTGAGCCGCGTCCGCTGCGCTGTCGCCGCCGCTGCTGCTTCCGCTGCTGCTGCTCTCGCTGCTGCTGTTTCCGCTTCTGCCGCCGCTTCTGCTGTTGCTGCTGCTGCCGCCGCCGCTGTTGCCGCTGCTGCCTTTTCGGACGCCTCAGCCAATGCGGCCTCTAGCTCTAGTCTCGCCCGCTGCGCTGCTGCCGCCGCCGCCTCCCGCGCTTCCTGACGGAGCCGCGCCAGATTCTGTTCGAACGAGGCGCGCTCCGTCAGCAACTGCTGCTGCAGCGCCGCGATCTGCAGCGCTGCCTCTGCGAGATCGAATTCCCGCGCGATCGGGGGTGAGACGGGTGGGGCGGGCAGCGCTTGAGGCGGCGGGAGACACGCTGGAGGGGGCGACGCGGGGAGGTGCGCCACGTGGAGCGAGCTCAGTGGGTCCTGAGACGGCTGGAAACGCGGTTGGGAAAGAAATCTGGGGGATTGGGCGTGATCCAATTTCCACTGCTGCTGCTCCTGATGCAGGTGCGGCTGCTGCTGCTGCTGTTGTTTCTGCTGTTGCTGTTGTCGTTGAATCTGCTGTCGTATTCCGGCCAATTGTAAATGTGGCTGCTGCACCTGCTGTTGCTGTTGCGGCGGAAAATATTGCTGCGTCTGGTAACCCGCCTCCCCACACTGCTGCGGGTAACCCTCCTCGCCGCCCCGCTGCGGCAACCCACCATTAGCAATCAACCCCTGCTGTGCGCCGCGCATGAGTTCAATGTTGCGCGGCGACGCTGGGTCCAACGAATCTTGCCACCGTTGATGTGTGCACACGCGGCTCCCGTTGCACCTCCTCAGCTGCTGCTTGTGCGTCGTTGGAAAAGTCGAATCGCGCTACGTGCCCACCGAAATATTCCTGCTCTCTTACTTCATCTAGTAGCACCGCTGCTGCATCGTTAACTCCGCTCTACCCCGCGCGCTCCTCGTCTCCTCCACCACGCATCCCGCGAGCGGCGGCTTCCGCGCAAGCAGCGCGGAATCAGGGCGAGCGGATGGACTGCGCGCGAACATGGCGAGAGAGACAGTCGATGGCGGAAGCGGGAAAAGCGTGGAAAGGCAGCGGGCCTGACACGCTCTTACTGACACATATGCATGGACAGAGCTAGTGTGTGAAAATTGTGGGTATGAAGTGCTGTATGGATGGAATACAGCAGGTTTGTAGAGGGGATTAGGTTTGGTGGCAGAGCCCACGTGCTCCAAACCAAACAAAGAGGTCTGGTTGCCATGATGCGACTCGCGATGCGAGCTCAGCCAGGTACGGTGAATCTTGAGTCAGAAGGCAACGGCGGTGAAAAATGGAGATTCAATTTTGCAACCATGTGAATGCCCCGAAGATTTGTATTATTCAATTTCTGCCCAAACGTTTTACACCTCATAAGTGGCATCGAGGAGGCTTGTGTTGGTGGTGCAAGCGGAAACCAAGTCCAATTTTGCCCGTGAAAACTGTTGCTTGACCAGTGGGCAACAGCGTTTGAAGCGCGGTCCGCAGCGAAAATGACCATACCAGAGTTCTAGGTGTCCCAAACCTACGTAGGGATCTGCTTCGGAAACGCCTAATCTGGCGGGGGGTTAAAACCCCAGTTTGCAGCTGCCGAACCTTTTCTGACCCAGCCTAAACTCAAAGCTATCGAACAGCGCCAAAGTCTGCAGCCTAAGAGCCGCACTACAGCTACATGTTTGAGTGGATTTGTAATGAGCTTACACATTGCTAACGGTATAGTAAAATACAAAACATGTAAGGGGCTTCAAAAATCAACAAGCCACCTCACCACAGGTATACTAGTGAGGGAAGCTCAAACCACAGATCAACACAGGAAAAACGCCCTAACGGCCTACCACAATGTGATAGTCTCGCCTCCACGCCTTCCAAATCTTGGCAGCAAAAAAACACCTATCACTTCGTGCTTGCATGATGAGTCACACACGCACAAGCCCGCATCCACCAAGTTACATGCAGGCACAGGTGGGAATGGCAGGTGCACACTGCAGGGTGAGGACGCGGAGCCGCTCCACCACCTCGGCCATGTCCGGGCGGCGGGCAGGCGTGTGGTGCCAACAACGCCGCATGAGATCAGCCAAGGCGGGCGGGCACGATGAGGGGATGTCTGGACGTAGGCCCTGGGATGTGCAGGGGCGGATGTGAGGGTGGCATGGTGTGAGGGTTGACTTGTAACAAAGGCCAGTTGAAATAAAGGTTCCTCAGACAGTATTCTTCCCCTCAACCCATTTCCTGTCCCCACCACCCCCATGCCCCTCATCTCCTCTCCTTTCAACCAATTTACCCTCCCTCTCTTGATTCTCTCCCCCTCACCTGGTTCACCATGCAGCAGACTTGCTCAGGCTTGAAACCCTCAAAGAGAAACGGGTTACCACACGTGACGATCTCCCAGAGCACGATACCATAGCTGTACACGTCCGCCTTGTGGTCGTACGGCTGCTCCTTTAGCACCTGCCGTGAGGGAAGGGGTGGTGCGAATACGTGGGGGTTGAATACTGAACGGGTTACCACAAGTGACAATCGCACGATGCCGTAGCCGTACACGTCTGCCATGTGGTCGTACGGCTGCTCCTTGAGCACCTACAGCAGAGGTGGTGTGGAGAGATGGGGTTGGACAAGGAGAGTGGCATGAGGACAGGGAGGAGAAAAGGAGAGGAGAGGAGAGGAGAGGGAAGGGGAGGTGAGGAGAGGAGAGGAGAGGAGAGGAGAGGGGAGGAGAGGGGAGGGGAGGAGAGGAGAGGAGAGGGGAGGGGAGGGGAGGAGAGGAGAGGAGAGGAGAGGGGAGGGGAGGAGAGGAGAGAAGAGGTGACATGTACCTCGGGTGACATGTACCTCGGGTGCCATGTACCTCGGGTGCCATGTACCTCGGGTGCCATGTACCTCGGGTGCCATGTACCTCGGGTGCCATGTAGCCGAAGGTGCCGGTGCGTCGTTTCATGGATCGATCCCCCGGCTCCACCCTCGACACGCCGAAGTCTGCAATCTTCACAACCCTGCACACTCATGGAGATGGTGACGTGGCATGGAGATGGTGACGTGGCATGGAGAGGGTGGCGTGGCATGGAGAGGGTGGCGTGGCATGGAGATGGTGACGTGGCATGATGATGGTGACGGGCGGCAGACACAGGTGCGGAACCAAAGTTAGACAAGGTCAACAGGTAGTTGGGCGCGGGCAGTTGGGGAACGTGGGGCAGGCGGGCGAAAGGTGGGAGTGAGCGACGGGGTGTTGGGAGGGAGCAGAGGAATGGTGCGCGCACCTGTGCTTTTGGTCGAGCAGCAGGTTATCGGTCTTGAGGTCGCGGTGCACTATGCTGCGCGCATGCAGGTACCGCAGGCTGTCAAGACAGGGGGGAGGGCGCGGGGGCAGGGAGGGGAGCAGCGCGGAAGGTGGGGGAGGGAGAGAGAGGGAAGGGGAGGGAGAGAGAGGGAGAGGGAGGGAGAAGGAGCGAACGATGTATATCTGAACGAAAGAAAGGTGGCGGAGATAAGGGGAAGAACTACACCAATGCTTTTTAAATGCGCGGTGCATTCTCTCAGTCACTCCCCCCGGCCGTCCGCCCGTGCCCCCCGCCCCCCCCCCCCTCCCCACCTCAAGCCCGCTCACTACACCCTCTCTGCAGCCCAACCTGTTGTCTCACGCCGCGTCTGCGCCCAACCACACCCCAAGCCCCACGCCCCTTACTGCAGAACGTGCGTACGTACCCCTCCGCGACTTGCAACGCGAGGTGCAACGCGCGTTTCAACGGCAGCCGCTTCTTCTTCCTGCTCTGCTTCGCTAAGAGCTGTTTCAGCGTTCCGCCCGGGAGAAACTCCAACACCAAACAGCAAAAGTTGCTCCCCACGCGTAACTGCCCCTGATGATTCTCAACCGTCGATGTCAGATCGTACGACTCCTGTCCGCCGATGATCGCGCCGACGAACTCACAGATGTTCTTATGTCGAAGCTTGCTCCAAACGAGCACCTCTTGCGCAAACACATCCCGCAGAAACGCCAAATCCGCGGAATTGATTTTCCCCGCCGCCTCAGGCTTCCCCACAGCCTTCCCCGCGCCCTCCTTTTCCCCGCGCCCAGCCTCCCCCGCATTTCCAGCCGCCGCAGGCGCAACTGTAACCGCTTCCGCCTCCGCAGCTGCCCCCGCCGCGCCACCAGCGTTTCCGCCATCCCGCGCGCCGATGTTTTTCCCCGCCGCAGCAGCCGCAGCCGCCCCCGCGCCCCCGTGCACGCTCTCCCCCTCCCAGTTGAGAAGCTTCACGGCAACGTCGCGGCCGATGTACTGTCCGCGATGCACGGTGCCGAACGAGCCGCGCGCGACGAAGTTGCGAATCACCAGCTGCGCCGCGTCCATCTGCCACCGCGGCGGACGAACGCGCGCGCTTCCGCCGCCGCAGCCGCCGCAGCCGCGCGGAGTGGATGGCTCAGCTTGCGCCGCGTTGTCGTGCGGCGCGGGGAGATTGCTTTGAGTGACGGCGTTTCGCAGAGGCAGAGGGGTGGCCACGTCGGTTCGCGGCATGGAGGCGTTGCGAGTCGCTGCATCCGTGGCGCCGCGCGGCGAGATTCGCCAAGACTCGGAAACGGCATCGAGGCGCGCGGATCCCGGCGCAGACCCCAGCGCTGCGCTTTCCCCCGCCCACCCGGACCACCATCGCGCGGAACCCCCGGCGGCGGGCCGTGAGAGTAAATCGGCGCCGTCTGCCTCGCTGCGCGCGCCGTCCTCGTCGCCGTCTTGGTCGTCCGTCACATCCTCCCCTTCCGCCTGAATCCGTTCCAGAATCTCCGCCGCGCCGCAGTTGCTCGTTAGTCGGCGAATCGCGTTCACCGCGCCAATCGCGTGGTGTTCTAATGATTGCCTCCCCTCGAGCCGCTCGGTCGCTTTCTCCTCCAGCGCGCGTCGCACGCTCTCCCATCCCGTCTCGCCGGGATTTTCTATGCACGACATCGAGTCTGCTTCTAACGGGGCAAAACACTCTAGTTGTTGTTCGTGTAACGGCGTTACAAGGCCTGCAATCGAGTCTAACGAAATGCGCCCCGTGGCCGGTACGCAAGCTTCCTCTGACGGACTGGCGCCGCTCGTTTCGCGGGGATTGTGACAGTTAGGCGAAGCTTCGGCGAATAAGCAATGCGCCGATGGCACCGGTTGAACTAATCCACTATGCTCACCGCGTGCCAACTGGGAGACACAATGCTCGCTGCCAGCGGGATTCTCATCGCCACGAGGCGCAGCCAAGTCAAGCACGTCAACGCGCGGTTCGCGGTGGAGGTCTTGAGCCGCCCCTTCGTGTGTACATCTAAAAGCCCCTTCGTGCTGAAACGCGTTATTGAAAGCCGCGTCATGAGAAGCATCGCTGCTGACACTGCTTAAGCTAGTCGCCTCGAAGGTATCTTGAGACGTAGTACCCGAAACGTGCGACGACCCCGAGTCGTCACCAGATGACGTCGCGTTTAACGCGCGTCCGTCGGTCTCGTCGGTTGTAAATAACGCCGTTAAGCTTAAACTAGCGGAGTTGTCGCTGTGCTTGATGCCGCCAGTACCGTCCGCTGCGGAGACTGCACTAATGAGGCGGTATGAGGCTCCAACGGCGGCTGCTTCACGTACGCCATGGAAGCGATAATTACTAAAAGCGGCGGCTGCAGCCATGGCGGTCGGACTTCGCTATCGGCTGGTATAATCCGGCGACTTGTGCTTGATACATGTCACTCAATCTGCCTGGATGAACTGTTTTGAAGAATCAAATGTGGAGGAGATTTGAGGCCTCGAGGCTTGGGGAAGATGTCAGAAGGAGGTTGGGATTCGGAAGGTCGGAGGTTGAGGAAGAGACGCAAGGGCTACTGTCACACTAGTGTGTTTACATTAAAAGCGGTTGAGTAAGATAATGTGCAGTTCACAGCGGTTTAGTCATCTCGCCGCTTTAAACCGCTCCTCACCAGCTGGAACATTGATACATAAACCCTCAACACAAGCATGACCTGCCCTCACAGCTCACCACAAGCCAGGCGGAATGTGGATGAAAATGCGAGGGAGGGGCCTTGGTTTCCGGAGGAACGTGATTTTGTGAACAATCTTGCGATGCGCGCGAACCACACATTCTGTGGTTTTCTGTGCCCTTTGCATGAAAAAGACTGCCCCTAATCCGAAAAGGCGCGCATTCGCGCGGGGATGGGAGGAATGGGATTGGACGGTCGAATGAAATCTTGCCTATTAGAGTCCACCTCCCTCAACGATTCGTCCAAATTCGACGAATCTCCTAAATTCAGCCACCAGATTCTTCAGGTTGGCTATGTGGCAGGGCAGGAGGTAGAAAGGACGGATAAACCCGTTTTCTCGAAGCCTAAAACAAAACCACAAATAATGAACACCCTCTGCAAGATTCCAGAAATAAAATACGCATCACTAAGCGCCTGCAATTCCTAGCAGATCGGTTGCTGCAAGGGGTGTGGGTGGCAGGCGGCAGAGTGATGCAGTGAAGTGAGGACACCGTAGATGACGGGTGCGAAGGTAACTTAGGGCCAACTATTAGACTGGGCAACAATTCTTCTAAACTCGCGTCTAAAACCAACGAAAAACTCCCTGATGACCCAGGGAACTTTCTGTAAACACCTCCTCCTGATCTCCCTCCACCAGCCACGACTGAGGATAACGCAAAGCAACCAATCACACTCCACTTGACTGGAAGATGTGGTTTGTTGTGGACCTTCCGCCTTTTGTTGCGGCGGGTGGGATGTGCAAGGGGGGAACGAACCAGCGGCGCGGCGCATGAATTGATCCGACCAAACAGGGGCTCGACAAGAGGCCGAGGAAATGACGAATCGCCCTGTTTGTTTGTTTCCAATTCCTTTCGGCAGTGGTTTTGACAGCGCAACGCTTTGAGATCGCGACCAATTCCTTGGGGCCTATTATTATGCCATTTCCCCTTTTTGAGTCCAAAATACATATTGGTTTTGTTTTACAGAATAACTAAAATCATCTCGTCACGTCCATCGCAAAAGCGCAGCTCGGGACAAAAAAACAATATACCCTCTTGGAAAGCATGTCACGTAAATGACATCAACCCTAAACATCATGTGGCAAAGTGTTTATGGTTGATGCCTCCCAAATGGCTTGTCATCCGAGTGGGTTTTAGTTTTGCCACTGGCCACTAAACTGACACCAGGTAGTCTTCGCAATTGCCCTTTTATACACCTGGTCACGAACATGGGAAATAACGAGATCGACTGCCCGTGGGAATCGGACGCGATCGTGGAGCGGGTTGCTGTCAAACCCACTGCCCGTTGGAATTGGAAACAAGAAAGCACCGCAGTCCGACATTTCCTCCAAGAGGCCACACCGCCAACGAACAAGCTTTGAGGAATTGCGTTCAGGTGTACAGAGATAGAAATGCAAGTACAACAACTATGTGAACAGTTTATGTACAACATGTGTAAGGAAAATTCCTTATAATTACTTCGCACCCCTGCTTACCGCGTACAAGACCATTCCCACCATCGGCACCCAACAGTGAAACGTAACCCGCTCGCGACACTCGCCTCGACTACGACTCCCGCCACTGTTCACAATGCGACCCAACCTCACGGTTCGGTTGGTAACCCGCGCTCCGGACCTCCGCCTCGACATTTCCCAACCTCGGCGCTAGGCCCGTAGCGCACCCCATTTTCTCGTGTTACAATTACCACGCCAGCTTCGCTATATATTATTCGCTCATGCCTTCGCTCATTGTATTGTTTGCTTCGATAGTGCAATTCTCGCTCGCTCGCTCAATCGCACTTGTAACACTTGGTATTCAGAGCCTACGATCTCTTCTCAGACCGCACCCAGACCTTCGCTTCCCCACTATCTCAGTTTTTGGAGGGGGTAGACGTCTCTCAGCGTTCAGGCACCGCCGTTCGAAGTGCTCTCTCAAAAGCACTCACGGCCACGACTGAGGCTCTCGCTGAGCTTGCCCGACACCCCCGTCATGGCCGACCTCAATCTCGCGACGTTGACGAAGGAGCAACTCGACCGGCTCGTCCGCCAGCTCGAGGATTCGGCGCTCGAAATCGCGACACTCACAGCGGAACGTGACTCTGCCCGCCAGCAATCAACGGTGAATGCACCAGCACCATCACAAGCACCTGCAAATGCACATGCGCAGTCGGAGGAGCCGATTATTATTTCGTCCGGCACACCGTCACAACATGACAGCGTGGTACAGCGCTCAAGCGCAGCCAGTAATGGCGCCGCCCAATCAATGCGTGGCATGGGGAGGAACAGGGCTGTACCAAGCACGAGCGGGCCTCGCGAAGCCCGTCGTCGCATTGAATTTGTGGCAACAATCGGCAACAACGACATTGTCGCGCCGATGCCGCTCAAACCGCAGCGCCCGCCCTGCTTCGACCCGAGCCAACGTGGAGGTCCAACGGTTCAATCGTGGGTCTTCACGATGAACGTTTTTTTCGACGCGAATTACATCGAGTCGGACGCAGCGAAGATCCGATACGCTGTTTCGCTGCTAAGGGGCCCCGCCATGGACTGGTGGCGAGTCATCGTGACGCCGCCACGCGCCTACGAGCCGCCGTCGCAAGAGGAAGAGCCCATTGGTCCAGCCGTCACCTGGAGTTCGTTCTGCGAAACCGCCCAGTACAGCACGTGGGATGCGTGGTGCACAGGGCTTCGGGCGCGCTTCGAGCCGATCGCGGCTTCTATATCGGCGCATCAGAAACTGCGTACTTGGCGACAGCTTAAGTCGGTCCAAGACTACACCAGCGGTTTTCTCGCTCTGTGCGAGCAAGTCGGCTACATGCACGAGGCGGAGCGGGTGGACCGTTACGTCGGCGGACTGAAGCCGGACATCTCGCACGAGATTAAGCTACGCGTGTCAGAAATGTGAAGAAAAGAATGACTAGAAAGAGAGCAGTACAAGGTTTGTATAGGCAAAACCTAATTTGGGCTGTACCCCATAAGGAGTGCCCCACTACAGCCTAGAGCATATAAGCATAGTTCTGACACACCCCCATAGGCAAAGTGGGGGACAAGCAAGTGAACGAGACAAGGTCAAGCTCAGGGTGGATCACAACGTCACCACGCATTCTGAGCACAAGCAAATGGCCACAAGGCCAGTTCACATGCAGAGTAATATAAAGCAGAACAAGCAGCACAGTGATCAAACCTAGCAAGTGAAAGCATGCAGGTATAAGTATATAAATCACAGTACAAGCAAAGTCAAGAAGTGAGCAAGTGAGGCCAAGTAGGCACAAGGCCTAGAACAGTACAGAAACGCTGATGATCACAAGGCTGAAGTGCCTTGGTGAAGACATCAGCTGTGTTGGCCTGAGAGGCCACGTAGACAAGACGAAGCTGACCACGCTGCTGCAACTCTCGAGCAAGGAAGTAGCGCAGAGCGATGTGCTTCGTTCTGTGCTCCTGTCTGTGCTCCTGACAGAAGGCAATCATGGCCTTGTTGTCGACGTACAGAACTGGAGGAGAACGAGGCGGCTTGCCCAAGTCGGTCAGCAGGTAGGTGAGCCAGCGTAACTCCTGTGCAGCCATGGCCCTTGCGTAGATCTCAGCCTCACAACTAGAGCTTAGAACAGAAGACGAGCGGGTAGACCGCCACGAAACAGAACCGGAGCCAAGGCTGAAGGTGTAACCCTGTGACGACCGCTGCGTAGCCCAGTCGTCAACCCAAGAAGCGTCTGCGTAACCAGTGAGGACAACTCGAGCCCGTCCTCCAAGCACGAGCCCCATGCCCGATGTACTGCACAAGTAGCGCATCACCCTCTTAGCGGCCTTCCAGTGCTCTGGTCGATGTCTCCCAGGCGCAACGTAGCGAGCCAGGATGCTAAGAGGGTAAGCGAGGTCAGGTCGAGTGCAGGTCATCAGGTACATGAGGCAGCCCACAAGCTCTGGATACGGGCCACTCGGCTCTACGGACTCATCCAAAGGCAGAGCTGAGAGAGAGTGAC